TTTTCTGAATTTCAGTTTAAAGATGTCTGTTACTTTTTCCAGATAAAGTACTACAACTAGGGTTAACTTTATTCTACCTCTCAAAATGTATTGCATGACTAAATCAAGATCAAGATTACATTTTAGCAATCACCAAAATTATATACGTTTGATCATCTTGATCAGATGCTYACACTATTATTTTAATATTTTGTAAATAATTATTAGTACTTTAAAAGGTAATTCACAGTCGGGCTTGGCACATTTGGACAAAGAATAAAACAATATTTTATAAAAGTATTTTGTGTTCAATATTAATAATGCTTTTGGGGGTAAAATAATTGATGCTATTAAGTTAGTATTAGACTGTTCCTTTTTGTATTGGAGGATAGCTGTTGGTACCCTGACTTCCCCTTACTGTCGTCAACATTTCTTACAGTATTTTGCCTGATTCCAGTCATCATTTGGCACATCCACCAAAGCGTGTCTGATTGCTAGAAGGATAAATTAAACTGCTTTAATCTTAATTCTATTTTCCTAAAAACTGCAGTTATGAATCTGTTTCCCTACTCCCTGCTGAATGCCACAAATAAAACATTTAATACTCAGGACAATATAATTTATACTTTTATTTATCTTTTATAACGTCTTTATAAAGTACAGTGAATGCACTAATCTCTGAGATTGTACTAATTACCTCTATGCTATTTTGAAAAACAATGTTGTACATAAAGAGTTGACATTCAAAGGGTTTTCAGCTTCAAACAGATTTAGTGCTATTATGTACTATTTTTTACAATTTTGTACGATCTCATTGAGGTATTCTCACTCTTTATAAAATTTATTCACATTGATTGGTTTTATACATATAAGAATGACTATCTAGTATATAAGCCTGATTTTAAAACAGGCCTGGCTTTGATGCTAATGATTTCCTCCCTAGACTCCTGAAAGGTCTGAAAATCAGGCTGTCAATTTATTCATTTATAAAACAACTGATTTCTTTTCCTGCTGCACATATGCATACTAGGCAGTATTTTGTCACATATTATATCATTTTGAATCAATTTGAAWATATATATAGCTACGTACTACTTAATGTGTCTTAGTTTGAACAAAGAAAAAGTCCAACAAAGCAATACCTATTTAGTGGTACTTAAGAGATAACACTGCTAACATACTTCCTTGCTAGGAGAGTCTCTTATTCTCTAGTAGTTAATTCTCAACAAGTAATTGATTACTACTACACAAAGAGAGGGACTCTGCTAGCAGGGTGCTAATTGTATATATCATAATAATTAATAATAATAATTAATCATAATTAATCATAATAATTCTATCACTAAAATAAAAATGTATTTTCTTTTTATCCTAGAATTTTTTGTATTTTTATAGTATATATTAACCAGATTGATAAGAATATTTCCAGACATGAAGATGTACAAGACTTTCTACTATAAATTTTCTTAAATGTAATGCACGATAATGTATATCTTTGCTATTGGTACAAAACTTATACTCAATGACTATTTTGATACATTGGAGTCATTATCCTGTGGAGCAACAGTCTTACAAGGACAACCGTTTATATATGAGCACCTATAACAAGACTGTTCATAATATATGTACCAGGTTGAGTATCACTGCACTTAACAGAAGATTGCACTGTTATAATGTATCCAGTTCAAAATCACTCCTTAAGCACTTTAGGAAAGTTCATAGCTAGTTTGAGTAGCCTGGTCAATGGTAGAGATTGYAAGAGCCTAGTACGTAGCACGCAGTTGTTGTAATGTATTCATAAAATRTATTATGTGTTTTGCATTATAATTATCTTTATGAATACATTACATCAACTGAGTGCTATGTAGGCTCTCCTGTTAGAGATCCAGGGGTCCCCTCTAACCATTTTCAGGGTATGGGAACCACTCTATAATTAGTACATGAACCTCTCAATTGCACTGCACAAAATCTTTAGTTGATAAATTATAGTTAGGACTTCTATATGTTGATTAGATCAACCTAAAACCGTTGTTATACTTCTTATATTAAATGATACCCTCAGAAACCCAAGAGTAATCCTCCTTCTCTTGGGTTTAGGAGGATGTTYATCTGTAATTGGCACTATCAATTTATGTATCAAAATATGTATATTCAATCATGGTCTTTAACAGTTTCCAAGTGACTTCTCTGATAGCCACTTTGACGTCCATTAAATAACATTGGTGGTGTTGTTCCTGGTATGGGATAGCTACTGCTACTGCGATTGAAGCTTCCACTCTTCAAGCCTGCTATTGATCCATATGATCGCGTTGTATTAATAGAATGTGCACCAGTGGCCGAAGGGCTCAGAATTCCAGGAATATCATAATTACTGGAAATAAAAGACATAAGTATTGTATAACTTAATTCCAATCTGTACCATTATACTTTGTAAGCTAAAACAAGGCAAGTCATGCAAAGAACACAGTTGTTTTTTCATGTTTTATGTCTGGCCTCGGAGTTGAGCAAAACCAAATTAAGTAAACAGTCTTCTATAACAAGAAACATGTACTTTGCTACCATATACATGTAAATAGTCCCCAGAAAATACAATAGATGAGATGCAGTTTAAAGGGTTACCAATTTCCTTCAATAACCAATCATTATCAGATTATTATTTTTTCCTTTGAAATTTGCAAATCAGGAGTAGGTGAACTGTCTATCAAGCTCCCAAGAGCTAGCAAAGAATCTGTAGTTGAGCCTCTTTTTCATTTTTGCTTGAATGTGTTCTCCTCCATAAAATACAGTTTTTTGGTAAATGTACATTAGAACATTTCTTACAAAAATTACCTTTTATTGTGGGCATTGGTTTGGATGTCTTCATCTGAATCATAACGATGTGGATTATCAAAGAAATATGACCTTTTATCGAAACTATTCGAATTTGCAATAACGCTTGGTCCCTGCAACTAGAAGATTTAACKATGTTGAAGTTACCTTGTCATAAAAACYGTCACACTTGTTTTATTCAGAAGGGAGGGGAGGGKGTATCCAAGACAGTAATATATATAAATCATAAATATTCATAATTATTAACATGTTAGTTTCCCTTACCACATTGGCTGACACATCCTTTGGCCGACGAACTCGGAAAAACCAAATTATCATGAAAGTTGGAAAGACCTCCCATAAAATCAAAACCACTCCAAATGCAACAAATGTTAATGCTCTGACATTGTTCTGTATTCTGTCATGATTGTTTATCTCTCCCTAGAAAGACAGTAGCATTACTGAATAATACAGTTAAAATGATTGTAAAAAAATTATTACATGTATAAAGATGCATTTACGCAATTCCTTGTAATTGCTCAATGACATGAAGATGATAATTTGACAAGAATCCCTTGTTCATGTAGACAAGGAACAAATTTTCCTTGACAAGCTTTGTTCTGCCTGCAATGCCTGATATTACTTGCCACAGTTGTGTAAAAAAAGAAAAATTTAACTTACTGACATTTCGGACGTTAATCCTTTATTGTATGATTAACGTCCGAAACATCGGTAAGTTGTTTCACCTACTTTTAACGGTTTCAAAATTTACATGTATCTTTTTACACAACTGTTTCTTTAGAAACACCAGTGCAGATAACACAGTCTAGTTTACCAATAGTTTCCACCATTACTTTCCACACTTTTCTTGTTGCCCATTGACACAAGCACATTTTATTATATTTTCTAAAATATTTAGGATACTATGTGCACTGTGATTGGTCGAAAACCATGTTTGATTACAGTATCAAAACACGCTCGCGCACGTCAAAAATTTCTTTTTTTCTTTTAATTTTAGAAAAAAAATAAAAGACGAAATTCCGTGTTTGATACTCTGATCAAAACACTTGAGATGTAGGGAGAGCACTCGAAAAGCTGTGCTTCTCTCGTGCTCTCCCTACATCCCGCGTGTTTTGATCAGTGTATCAAACACGGAATTTCGTCCTTTATTCCTTAAATATATTATACTCACCTCATCTGAGATATTAATCCACCCAAATCCAAATGTTGACAAATCGTGTGGTACTGTAATAGCAATCATGTTGTAAACAGCTCGGGATATATAAAGAAACACAACTATGAGGCAAATACTTGTAGCCTGGCACACTGTTGTACTCTAGAAAATCAATATATTTATAAGATGCATAAATAATCAATATATTCTATAGATTTTGCTGTAAGGTAAATGTGGATGAATTATTAATTATGGTGTTCAACCCACAGACACAAATGGAAAAAATACCTCAAATTTTGTAAATAATATTTATCACAATTAAAGCATTCTATGTACCTGTCCTTCCAAGAAAAAACTTGAATTAGACGTTTTGGTGATCTGTCAATAAAAAAAAAATTAAGTTAAAGAAACAAAGTGACACTATAATATATTTTTTTTAAACTTGGCATCAATATCAACCAGATCATTTTGAAACATTGGGTTGACAGGGACATGTGCAGATGGGGTAAGTCCTTGAAACACATTTGCAGATACAGCTTGTTTTGTGTAACTTGTGCAATCATGAGGCATTCATAGATTTGAAATGTCATGTCATGGCATCTCCAATCATTAAACGGCCCTGCATACCCTATCTGGGAGAAGTAGGGACAGGATGGATGAATTGAATCAGAGATTGTGTTGGGCCTATAATAGCTATATACTATAATTTTCCTCAGTTAACAAATTCTAATAATTTCAGTACCTTCCTCATAGACAGACAAAGAAGAATTCCAGCAAAAATGAACAAAAATTCATTGACAATCACTCTTGTAATGACTAGTCCACGAGAAGCACTTTGGTCGGGACAAAATACAGAGCTGATGACATTTATAACCAGGAATATCAGATTTGAAATAGTGAATATCACATTAGGTGTTCTCCTGAAAATCAAACAGAAAACTTACTTACCATCAAAGTGATCAGTACGTGCTTTTTGAATTCAAAAACAGAGATGTTTATCAGTGTTATTTACCTGGTGCAACAAGTCATGTGATGTAGACAGTGAGGTACAGTGATGTTTATGTAACTGAATTCCTAATGGAACTGTAATTGATTCTGTACAAACGCAGAACATATATTGATGGCTTATGAAGATATTTTGAGCAAACACCATATTCAATTACATTCCTCACTGTCMATACATCATCAAACTTGTTACACCCAAATATATAGTGTCTATTTTTTGGCTTTTAAAAAAAAACACACTTTACTAATTTCAACTAATATCTTTCTAGACAAAGAATTGGCAGTTGTTAGAGCTTATATGTAAGCACTTCGCATTTGAGCTTTAGAAGTTGGTGATTCTTACTTGTATCTTGCTGGTTCTAAGGAAGTCCTTCCAGACTTGACTAAAAACTAGGAAGAAAAAAAAATGGATGACTTAAATTAAAAAAAAAAATCCTAAGCAAAACTTTTTTATCATTAATTTGCTCTAATAAATTTCTACATATTTTTTTAAAATAATTTTATGCCATTCTAATCATATTTAGTAGAGGGGACAATGTCCCTATAACTAACTATGTTGTATTAATCCAAATGTATGTTCAAAGAAAATCAAAAGAAAATGAAAGTGATTAATTAGGGTTTAGCGGTTTAGCACACTCTGTAATCAGGCCGTGATATTGCATTCACATCATTAAGTTACAGTTGTAAAACGAATTCGATGTTATAAAAGCTTTCTAAAAGGGTGTTCAAACAAATTATGCAGATTGTATGGGTACTGCTAAAACAATACTTCCTTAATTTAAGTTTAAGACATGAAAACAATGATTATAATCGCCTTATAGGCGCACAWTTCGAGGCCGGAAATGCTACGAATCAAAGTTTTTACCTTCACCAAATATAATGTCAACAACGTCAGCATCAAAAACTGCAAGTAAATTGGCAAAGCGAATAGAAGCCATCTCGGAAAWGCTGGCAAATTGTTAACTGTCATGCAATCGTGAAAGTAAAACGAAAAYAGTGAAGTTCTCGCTCCTGCCCAGAACAAACACGTAAAGAGAAAGAAACTTTGGTAGGAAAGTCTTCGATGTCTGTAGTAGAGWATGAGCGTAAGCTGTGAGATGATGAAGAAGAATAACAATGCATAGATTGCGATGAACACCACTGCAAAACCAAGGTGGACATTGAAAGGTAATGGAGGCTGAACTGACGAAGGAATAGTTGTCCCTTCTGTAATAACACGTGAAAAAGGGAGAATGTTTTTGGTCGTCCCATTCGAGTCCGAGCGCGCCATTTTTCATCAACAGGGAACAATCATATCAATTCATCCACAAACGACATCAGAGTTTCGTGCAAAGCACCACCTCCTTCCATAGACACATGCACAAATATAGACTTTAAGCTGGAAATATTTGCGAATCAGATTGTGACAAGGAAATACTCCAGTCAGACATGTTTATCGTTGATTTCGATTTTGGCAAATGTCAAAAGGAGAGAGAAAGACTGGGAATAGAAACAGGAAGCCCACCGAAAAGAATAGTTGTACGGAAAAAGAATGAACTGAATGAGACAAAATAACAAAATAAAAAAGTAAATGAAAAACCAATAAAATGAGTCAAATGCAAATAGCCTTATTAAAAKAGATTGCAGAAATGTGCGAATTAGTCCTTTGCCCCTGTTTTAGGGTACTGATTTTGTAGCTTGACTTCAAGTCAGTGGCTGCGAAAGCGTAAAATGTTTGTACTAATTCCCTTGATTCAAAAATTAAAACATTGAAAAATAAAACATTGAAAAAACGCGTTTCTATTGGGACGATTATATGGATTCTTGGAGTTAACTACATAGAGCTGGAAAAATTGGTTTTCCCTCTCCGTTTCTTAGCAACACACAGTGCTTTTCATATGTTCACGGCTGTCACTCAAAAATTTCTTAGAAATCTGATTGGATCAGATCATGATCACTGCTCATAAAAAACATGAATCTGATTGGTTTAACTGTAAACTGCACGCTGATATTCGCATACCAGTTGAAAGCATGCAAAGGGTGCGCGTTCGTTATTTCAGTGCTGGACGGGATGCAGTGAAGACGARATTAGACGAAGGTGAGCTACGCTCTTCAAATTTTATATAAAACTTCCAAAAATAACTATTCTTTCTTTCTATTTATAATTCTCAGCAACGATTAATATTAAATGTTTACTGGAACTTCAAATTTCTGTGCAAAGAAACACAATATTGCAAAGGAAGAGTTGTTGCATTAAGTCGTCACATTGTGCAAACTCGTGGCTGMAACAGTTAGTGAAGGTCGCAAAGCCTAAGAAAACTCTCCACTCTCCAAATGTGAGTTAAAACATTTGTATCTCTTATTCTGTCTAAATGCACAATTTGTGCATAAAAGTMGAAATTTTGAGCATTGTTAGTGAAAAATACGCGAATTGTTGCTGTTGTTGGCGCCAAATTGCAACTATGTTCAAACRKGCGTAAAACTTGGAAAATCACTCATTCGTATCTATTTTTACTTAATTTCCTTTCATGCTTTTAATTTAGGAACRGATGTTTGACGATGAAAGTAGAAAATAAAACATTTCCATTCGTGCTGGATTYGAGACGTTGCAAAGTTTTTGAAAGGTGCGTTTACAACTGTCCGCGCCGGTTTTCCCGCCTTTTTATCCARYAAGACTGACATGTTTTCTAGATGTAAWTTTTCTGTTTCTTTTACATACAGGTCACGAATTCTGCCGGGGAGAGAGTTGGTTAGTACGATTCTCGCAAGAGCAATATTACTGCGACTCTACTAAGAACAYGAAACTTTAGGTAAATTTTTATGCGTTGGGACCAGCGGACAAGTTCTTGTATCAAAAGTGATTTGCACAAAAACATCAGAAAACGAGATTTTATTGTCCGAATGATTTTGTTAACGTTCTTCGGTATGTTCAAACGTTCTCTCRAATTCGTGAGAGGCTAAGGACAAGAACCCAATATTTCAGGCTTTTTAGGCTATTTTTCAGATAATTAGCTATTATTTTCTTAATTTATATCCTGAAGGCAAGAAGTCTCGCAATATGACTTTTATGCCGAGAATATACCCCTAAAATAACAGGTAAAAACATACTCCATTAGATTCCAGTGTTACCTAAAAAAATCAATTCTACTCACAAAGTTGTTTGAAAATTTGTAGGATTGTAGCGGAAMATTTCCTGGTCAGATTGGTTGACAGACGTGGTTCGCATCGCAGGGCACGGCAAAAGACGCAAGACTACATGGTTTACGGAGCATGGCAAAAGACGCAAGACAAAAAAAGTTTTAAAGAAAACCAAAGACAAGCGAAGACAGTAAAAGTCCCAAGAACAAAAGAAAAARCTAAGAACACAGATGAAGACTCGTGCAGCAATGGTCTGCAACGCTGCATGCAGGTTTATTTTTTGCTTATTACTACAGTCCAGTGTTTAGTCTTCCCTCCCTTCAGAATTTTTTCTTCAATCGCTTTTTCTTTTTTTATGAGATTTTTATTTTATTTTTGGGCATGTTTTAAGAAATGTTTTAGGGGCTTTATCTTGGCAAAACCTGCTGGCAAAAGTGCAAAGGGTTTTTGTTTATTTTCTTAATTCTAACTCAGTGAAGAGGGACCTCACATCCTAATGTTAGGCTTGGCTTGTAGTATGCAGCACAGTCAGGATATTGTTATCATGGGTGCATGTCAGATAGTTTGCCGATAAAAATGTCCTCTTTGCTCTTCTTCCAGCAGTGAAAATGCATATCTAAATTCCTTTTTGCAGACATTGGGTTTAATAACTTAATTAACCATTTCTTGGGAGTTAATCGGTGTGGGTTAAGTTTTTTTGTTATTTAAACTTGATGTCTGTTTAAGTTTTCAGATTTTTACGGCTAAGAACTTTATTATAAATATGATCAGCTTTCACGGTAAAATATCATCTTTTCCAGCCAAGATATAAGCTGTTAGTTGAGGAATTGCAGTTTCATACTCATCATTGAGGCAGTGCACTTGGGACCTGTATTTATTATCTGTGGTTTGTTGGTGATGTCTCTTGTWWCCCTTGGTTTCATGAGACACRCCTTCTTGCCCGTTTAATGAATAKAGGGAAGAAGCACGACCTCGCAGTGGGATCAGGTACCACCATCATCATCTGTCATCTTCTCATCATCATCGACAAAAKGGATCTAACTCCAAGCTGATGACTGATGGTCCTTTGTATGGTTTTGCCCTCGCGATACATTGGACCAGTCCTCTTTAATGAGTATGTTACTTGTTAATTCCTTGCCGGGTGGTTTAGGTTCAGCGAATAGGCCCCCCTGAAACGAATGTTTCAGTATTAATAAATATTGATGGTTAYAATCATGCAGACTTTGCTGTGCTTTCCTTTGGCTTGGATTGGTTTTCATTTGTTTAAACACTGTGTGGAGCTCATTTATTGTTCTAATAAATGATATCTCTACTGAGGTTTATTCTTTTGGATAATCAATCCYGTGGGTTGGACATGTGTTTCCGAAACCATAGATAATATAACTATAATACTAAATGAGTGGGTGTGTTGACTTGGCATGCGGCAGTGTGTGYTTGCGACATCAGAGAGAGTRTGTTACATGTACTTCCGGCACAATAGGTAGATGGGACAGTACAGCAAAGTTGTTATTTGGTGTACTTGATGATGCTTAACACCACCAAGGGGCCAAATGCATGCTACGTTTAATGTTTATATGCATGATGATGTTATGTATTGAATGTTATGTTATTATTGCTTTTCCTTTTACAGCTGTACTTATATTTACCATTATATATATTTACACCATAGAAGAGTTTTTGAAATGAAAAAAAATATAGGTTAGCTTTTCAGTAAATGTCAGAGTCAACAACTTTAGGAAACATGTTTAATTATAAGTAATTAACTGTATATTTTAGCTTAATTTATCATTTTCCTTCTATTAATTCAACTAGGGTATTATAATATAGGCATGTAGATATATATGCGGTTGCGGCTTTCAAAAGGTACTCTGACAGCAAAATACTTTTCATTCAAAATTGAAAAAATAGTTGTTTTTTGACAATATAATGGTATTGATCTGGTATAGTTAAGTTGAGGCTTCATAAAAATTGTGCGATATGGCTGAGGGGTACCAGTATGCAATGACCTGCAACTGAAATTCTGCATTCCGAATGCTAATAAACTACTTAATGGTTCGACTGCATTTCATGTTTTYGCAAGAATATACTAATCCATACTTGATTCCACAGCAAATATTTTAAATGTTCCTTATGTGATTTCAATTTAATTGATTGATATGAATTTAATGGACTCCAATGCAATGACCCCTGCAACAATATTCGATTTTCCAAACACTAACTTCTCAGTGCTCCATGTTCATGAACGCATAACTAACCCTTTTGAATCCACAGCAAATATGTCAAATATTTCAAGAATTAATTTGTTTGTTTTGTAATTTCATGAAATTTCCATGTATTAAGAGAACTTGTAAAATACCTTTTTYCCCTGAATTTTCATATCTCAATGGTAACTTGTTATTGTAAAAAAATGTTGTAATTTCTTTTTATGAAAAAATGCAAACTGTTTAGGATACAAGGTTATGAAAAGTTGTAAAAATAATTTATTATCATGTGTAGGCCACAATTTCTCAAATGTACCCTTGCATATCTACTTGCATATTACTATCCATTTTGCATCCACAGCAAATTTTTTGAATTTTTTTGACATTAATAATTGTGCAATGTTAATAAATTTTRTAATTTCAAAATGTCTTGATTCAAAATGTAATTTTTTTAATTAAAGATTGCATGGTTGTAAAAACAAACTGTTGTAAATGTTCTTGTAAATTTATTAAAACACAGAGAAAAACCCTTTTAATTAATGGTATAAACAAAGCGAGTTATGATCAAAGACACATTGGAAACTATTTGTAATTGAGTGTATGTTTGTATAATATGTATATAATTGTTTCATCTAGAAATTGTAAATATGACATCAATGTGCAAATTGATTTTATTTTCATAAATTGTACAAATCTTGTATGTCGAAAAGAATTTGTAAAATGGAAAATGTTGAGATATTGACATGTACACAGATGATTGAATATTGGGATCTATGTGAAATGGATGGGAAAATGAATRAATGAAAAAGTGTATTTTCTTGTCATGCAATTTATGTTCATTTTCCTTACTTTGACTTTAAAATTATAAAAGGTCTACCAAGTGGTAAGTTTTGGATAAGCTGAGGTACTGTAAGTATCATGTGTCAAAGATCATAGGTTCATGTACATGTATTTCTAAAACGTACAAATCAAATTGACCAAAAAGTGGAAAATAAMTCTATACAATGGCAATATTAATCCATTGACAATTGAAATGATTGTAACTATTGAATCATAATTCCAGCAAAACTGGTTAGTCAGATGATGAAAATATTTATAGTTTACCTTGAAAATTAGTACTGACCATTGCTTTCTTTCAACTTTTCTTTTTTTTCATTTCTATTTAGTTTCAGCCAAGAGGTAAGGTTTGGATTTGCTGCGAGGTAACAAAATGTATCAATTTGACTAATATGATGCAGCTCTAATTTAGCATTGGTCTTACAAACGAAAAATTGTCTACAAGTAACACTCAATTCTCAAGAAAAGGGAAAGAAAAAAAAGGATATATTTCACCTGAAAAAAAATATTGATAGAAACAATTTAACAAATGATACAAAGCTGGAAAATGCAAAGAAAATTTATTTACCTGAAATGGAAAAATGAAAACTGAATGGAATATTCATTGAAAATGAAGATTTAGTGAAAACATTTAGAATTGCAGCTCAATACTTATATATATACATGCAAAATCTAATTGCCTTTCTCTCGTTTTCTTTTTTTTCCCTTCTTTTTTTAAATTTCAGCTTCTTCCAAGAGGTAAGGGATGGATATGCAGAGGTAGCACAATGTATCAAAWATGAAAAAGAACTTTCATACCTATCACATTAAAAATAATATTACCTTAGTTCAAAAGTGGAGACACTTAAAACTTATAATTGCAAAGGAGGAACATGCAATTGAAAAAAATTGGATGAAATGAGATTCAAATGAAGTTCTTTTATAATAAAATGTTGTTTTTTCTACTATTATTTACTAAAAATATTATTTTTTTCTACTTTGMTTTTATTTCAGACATGGAATCCTAAAGAAGAAAAGGCAAGTCCGTATGAAATATGTCCATGCAGTTAATATTTTTTTATCCAAATGCATTAAAACTACTATTTTTTGGACGATTTTGACAATTACATGTATAATATGTAATTCATCAAGTACATTGCTAATTGTTACTATTTGCATGTATTCTGTTTGTGTCTCATCCAGGAGCTTTGATTCAAATTCAAGACGGGCATTATACATTGAACTTATCACATACATCATCACCTAAAGCCTMAACAGTACTGATTACTAAAGATTAAACGTCTTAAAAATACCAAAAGATAAACCTAAAAAAAWACTTTAAAAATCACTTACAGTATATAAAATATAATTATAATATATCATACCATAGGTGGGATAGGGGTTGGGGGGGGGAGGGGTTTGAGTGGGGTGAGGGTGGTGAGGGGGCTAAGAATAACTAGTTTATTTATTTACAGTTGAACTACAAATCAAAAACTGTAAATCAAGCAACAGTTTATATAGCACAAAATGTGAATTAGCAAAATACATGATTTCAAATAGGTTTCTGTAATATCAGCAGTAATGGTGAAATCTAGAAGGACATGCTAGTAGACACTTGCTATAGACAGTAGACTTGGTTACTTGATGTATGACTCACAAACACTGTGGAGTTACTTGGTATATATAGGGCATTATGTTAGATAAAGTGTAGCTTTACATGGTTAGTACGCTTGCTATAACAGTAGACTTGGTTACTTGATGTATGACTCACAAACACTGTGGAGTTACTTGGTATATATAGGGCATTATGTTAGATAAAGTGTAGCTTTACATGGTTAGTACGCTTGCTATAGACAGTAGACTTGATTACTTTTATGATTTAC